CTTTACCAGAGACAGAAGTAAGAAACTGGAGCATTTAACTATTCAGTTCATTTAATCATTTTTGCACTTCAACTGTTATTATAAAACACATTTTCTATATCCATTTATGGAGCTTGTTCAGATGACTTCAGTGACACAGCAGTAATGCAAAGATCAAAAATATTTTGTTGACTCTCTCACTGGTTCACACTAAACAGTCTTTTGGCAGGCTTAAGCTTTTTCACAGCAGCATTATGAAAAAATTTCCCCCCATATATGAAGCATGAAACACACAGTTGATCATAAACCTAAGAACCTGTGAGCTTTTATTTTGGAGGTCGATTTCCCAAACCATTTTGTGGCTACTCTTTTCTGAGGTTTGACAGACGGACCTGGTCCAAGACTTTTCCTCTGTTCTCAGCCTGAGCATCCTGTGCTGCTACTGCTGTTTCTCTGTGGGACGTTCAAACTCAGACCCCATCAACCTACAGTTTAACTGAGCCAAAAAAACATCAGAGAAGAAATATTTGATCTGAGGAGGCATTTACAACAGGTAAGCCAGAACTTTTTTTCAGTGGATTTGTCTATAATGTTTCTGTTTTCTAAAAATAATTTTATTTTAGTACTCTTAGTTTTCTTTAAGAAACAGCAAAGTTTTGCAGCATATGACACAAGTAGGGATGGTTACATTAATTTTGCAATAAAAAAAGGTAAAACCGTGATTAGATCAAAGCATACTAAGACATGAAATCCAATATGAAACATGATAAAAAAAAAAGCTAACAATTATAAATATAAAACATAAATGCAAAGTATTACATGAAAATACAAAGATACCCCCATGGTGAACTAATTAATATGGTTGCAAGACAGAGTAACAGGTTTATAACTAGTTTTACAGCAGCTCGCAATGGTTCTCATCCATATTCTGTGTTCTTGATCAGTGGTTTTCTAGACGGTCTTAAGATTTATTTAAAGTTTTTCTTTGGATTCTTGTAGCTTGAATAAGTCAGGGAAAATAATTGCATAATATATTTAAGGATTTTAAAGTTGAATTTGGAAAATCCTTAGCAGGGAAAATTTGATTGACAGAGAATGGAATCTCTCCAGCAAGGGGATCTCAAAGTAGATACTGTATAAGTGGAAATCATGTCAATGATAGAATAATAATATTTCTCGATGAATTTGTATCTGGTTCTCTTTTCTTTTCTAATTGGATAGAAAATATAAAAAAAAGATCAGTCGAGTAT